AATTTTGGAAGGTTTGGGTACGTTGTTATTTTGGGTTCTCATTGGGTGTCCAATCCTTTTTTTTACAAAAAATTATCGTTATCTGTCCGCGATATGGTATATACCCCACAAAACTGTACACCAAATTTTTGACAATTTGAGGATTACGGTATGTACAAGGTCCTAGCCCAAATTTCCAATAGCCTGTATTGTTTATACTTCTCTTAGTAGTTATTTACCATGGCATAAAACCCATATAAAAATACCGATCAATTTAAAATTTGACTGTTCACTTCACGGCGGTGAGCATAAAAAGGTCGGCCCTGTCGAACTTAAGGACGTTTTACTTATTTGTATTCATATTTTTTAATAAAAAATCTCTACTCTACTTAATACTATTAGCATGTAAAAAATCAACAAAAGTACACATTTATTACAGGAATTAAGAAATGTAATGAGAGACAATTTGTAAGAAAATGACCTAAGTCCACGAAAACATGAAAAACAAATGAAAAGTCTGAAAGTCCCAAAAAAATTGCGTATGTATTTCCACAAATACTTATTTGTACTCCTCATATAACTTTGTACTTTAATTTGCAATATTTGGGAAAATTTTCTGCATAGGTCTATTTTTGTATATCCCTTAAGGAAGATTCCGACGTTTTTTCTTACGTCATTTCATTCAACTTTTACTTATTTTTCTAGAGTTTTTAATTACTTGCATTTAAAAAAAAATAAAATACATTATTTCTCACTATTGCTCACTGATAAAGTTTTAAAGAGTGTAAAAGGTAAACATTTGCATAAATGTACCTGTACAAATGAATGCCCACCATTAATGTTAAGTCGTTGAATGAAAACAGAGAATACAAAATACAATGCATGACGTTCACTCATTGGACTCATTGATGTTGTATAACTTGTTCTTGTAATCCATCATACTGCATGTTGTGCTTTCGAGTTTGATCGTTTGATCGGACAAAGCACAACGAAGAACAACACAACTTCGGTGGTTGAATTCATTTGCACTCATTCAATGTTGTTGTGTACTCTGAATACAACTTAACACCCATGAATGTGGATGGGCATTCATTGTACGAGTACATTCTTGCAGATGTCTAGCACCAAACATACTTTCCACAATAATTTCTACTGAACATATATTTTGTTGTTGTTGCTGTTGTTTTGCTTTTGAACTTGCAACAAACCATCAGCCAGCAACCACATGTGGAACATTGTTGTTCTCACATGTGTGAATTTAACACAAACACACACATACAGTGTACTGGAGTACAAGTTGCATGTACAACTCGCTATGAACTTTTCTTGTTGTTGTTGTTGTTTTTTTTTTGTAATATTTATTTGTTATCAATTTTATCTTTACAATGGGATCGTTAAAGAAAAATTTACGCATATCTCAATACAAAGAATCTGCAATAATTTATTTCTAACGGCGCTCTTTATAGCCAACGACAGAGTAGACGCAACCAACCGCCGACCGCCGACCTGTATCAAACGCATTGCTGATGATGCTACACGAAGCATCATCAGTGCTGTTACAGGTTGCAAGTCACATATTGCTGCTGTTGTTGCTCCGCATGTTGCACACAAAGCCGCATTAAAATAACAAAATGCATAACAGTAAATCGTGTGTGAGTGTGTTGTTGTTGTTGCTGTATCATGGCAAAATATAAAAAGAAAAACAAAATTGAAGATGGAAAAAAATTAGAACACGCAGTTTTACTGTTCAATTTAGCGTTCGCAATGAAAGCAAGCCAGCCAGCCAACCAACATTGAAGATGAAGATGCTTCACAAATCTCTATGTGCTGAGAGCACAATATTTTTTAATGTTTATGTTCTAGATTTTAGACCTTGATCTTTAAGAGGTTATTTGTTTGGCGAATGTTGCGAGGAAAAGGGTCAATTATAAGTAAAAATATGTGTGTCATTATAAAGGTCATGTTGTAGACAAAAAAATAACAGCAACGGAGTAAAGCAATGCTTTAAAAAAATTAAAAAAAATATATATATATATATATTTCTGGCGTAGACGAACTCAGTACGGCTTGATGTACGAGCACGTTTTGTTTTGTTTACTGGGACATCAAAAATCACTTTGCCGAAAAAAATGTAGCAGATCGATCTTTCTAGTTCCTTTTTTAAAAAGGAACTAGTTCCTTAATGTAGTTCCTTTGCTCCATATAGTTCCCTTACTCCATACAGTTCCTTTGCTCCAAATATTTCCTTTCCTCCATATAGTTCCGACTCCTACATAGTTCCTTTGAATCTCTCTCTTTCATTGTTCTCCTTGTTTTTTTTTCGTTTTTTCCATATAAATCCTTTGCTCCATATTTTTCCTTCGATCCATATAGTACCTTTGCTCCAAATAGTTGCTTTAATCCATACAGTTCCTTCGCTCCAAATAGTTCCTTTGCTTCATATAGTTCCGACTCCTACATAGTTCCTTTGCATCTCTGTCTTTCATCGTTCTTTTTTTTTTTGCTTTTTTTCTTTGTTTTTTCCATATATAGTTCCTTCGATCCATGAGTTCCTTTGCTCCATATAGTTCCTTTACTCCATACAGTTCCTTTGCTCTTTATAGTTCCTTTGCTCCATATTGTTCCGACTCTTACATAGTTCCTTTGAATCTCTCTCTTTCATCATTCTTTTTGTTTTTTTCGCTCACATAGTAGTGAAAAAAGGAAAAGAAAAAAGAACGAGATCAAAAAGGAACGAGATCAGAAAAAGGAACTATTTTAATTAAAGAGCTGGAACTAGTTCCGATCGTTCCTTTCTCGGAATAGTTCCAATGAACTAGTTCGTTCCGGAACTACCCAACTCTACTCACCCAACAGATCCCGCACAATTTAATAATCGTTAAAAAATGCTTGCGCCGATTGGTGCAAAGAAATTATGAACAAGTAAAAACGATGTTAAGTTCGACCCTGCCGAAATTTGTATACCCTACACCATGAGGATGACAATCACAATATCATATATTAATCGGGCTCCTAGGGGGGTAGTCACCTCTATATGATGACTACACCAAAACATGGATCGATATATACCATTTACAATACCAAACATTCTAGGAATACTAGCAATGTTTGTGCAAAATTTGAGAGCTCTATCTTAAATATAGCGATCTCTATCGTGATTTCAACTGACAGGCAAACAGACGAATATGCATAAACCGACATAGAATTTTTTTCTGATCAAGAATAAGAAAACCGGTAAATATTTCGAAATGTTGCAAACGGAATGATACATTTAATATACACTCCACCTTATGGTGGAGGGTATAAAAATACGATCGCGGTTTTTCAAAAGTTGTTTATAAGGTCGTCACGGATGGCGTATGACAGATCTATGATCATGCGTCCGAAACAGAACAGCAATCGGCATTGTGAGTCTTCGAAAATGAGTCTAATCCAACGAAAGTTGGAATTCTAAGCAAATGCTCGCAACGTAGTTAGTTCGTTCCGGGACAAATTAGTTCAAAATAACTATTCTCCAAAATGAACTATCGGTACTAGGTCCGATTCATTCGTTCATGTAGTTTTTTTTTAATCGCTCCTTTTGCTCTCGGCAATAGGTCCGGTTCATTCGTTAATGTAGTTTTTTTTCCAGTCAATGAACGAAACATTGACCGAATCAGCTGATGGGTACCAATGAACAATTCAACTAAAAGGTAGAATGGGTAGAATTAACGACCGCTTCACCAACAAAACTTAAATCATTCAAAAGCCATGTTTTGAAGGTGTTTCACACGAAAGAGGAAATTTGCTTTGACAAGAGGCCTTAGTTCATGAAGATGTGTATAAATTATGAAGTTTTTATACCCTTCACCACGCTGTGGTACAGGGCATTATGTCTTTGTGCATATGTTTGTAACAAACAAACTAAACGAGAATATGCATCGAATCACTTTCTGAGTCGATTTATGTATGTCCGTCCGTCCATGTATTTTAATGAACAAAGTACAGGTCGCATTTATGATCCGATTTGGATGAAATTTGGCATAGGCCATTTATTTGGCCCATGGACGAACCTTATTGAAATTGGGAAATATCGGTTCAGATTTAGATATAGCTCCCATGTATATTTTCGTCCGATTTGGTGCACCAAAGTCCCTATATATATCTCGATTTGCACGAAATTTGTTACAGCGTAGTAAATTAGGTCTAGAATGATGTGTGTTAAGTTTCGTGAAAATCGGTTCAGATTTAGATATAGCTCCCATATATATTTTCGTCCGATTAAAGGTAAATGGTGCGCCAAATACCCTATATATTCTTCGATTTGCACGAAATTTGGCATAGCGTACTAAATTCAGTCAAGAATGATGTGTGTTAAGTTTCATGAAAATCGGTTCAGATTTAGATATAGCTCCCATATACATTTTTCAGATTTAGATATGGCTCACATATATATTTTCTTCCGATTTAAGACAAATGGTGCACCAAAGTTCCTACTTATCTTTCGATTTGTACGAAATTTTGCACAGCGTACTGAATGAAGCCTAGAATGACGTGTGTTAAGTTTCGTGAAAATCGGTTCAGATTTAGATATAGTTCCCATATATATTTTCTTCCGATTTAAGATAAATGGTGCAACAAACTACTAATGTTTGTCCGATTAACACGAAATTTTGCACAACGTATTAAATTGAGACTTGAATGACGTTATTACGTTTTGTTCAAATAGGTGCAGATTCAGCCATAGCTTCCACATGTTTTTCGAACGGACAGATTAAATTAAATTTTAACATAGATTGCAGAATGACATGAGTAGGTTCCTTCGAAGGAACATTGACATACAATTGTAAGGATACATATGTACAATATACCCAAAGTGGTGAAGGGTATCATATAGTCAGTCTAGTCCGGTTTTTTAATATTTCCATTTGACTGACATATTTTATTAATTCAATTTAGTTTACATTTTCATAGGAACTCAAATACTTTTTTTTTCAAATATTTATATATTTTATTTATTTATTTTTTCTATTTTCTTGCAGGATGACATTGGCGATCCATGTGGTTTAACCAAGGCCGGTCTAGAGGAATACACAATGCGTTCCAATTCTTTTTATGATAATCCCGTATTATATCATCATCAAAAGCAATCATCCTATGCCCAATCGGAAGGCTATCACAGTTATGTATCCAGTTCGGATTCAACATCGGCAACACCAATGTTAGATAGGTGAGTAGTAAATGAAATTTTATGGAAATTAAATTAAAGCTACATTTTAAATAGTCTAGTCGGATGATCATTTGTCATTTCTTTCTTTAAAATTATTTTTCTTGATCTACCACAGATGTGGATTTTTTAAAAAATATTTTTTCTCGATCTACCATAGGCGTGGATTTTTTAAAAATAGGCGTAGATTTTTTAAAAAATATTTTTCATCAATAAACATAGGCGCAGATTTTTTAAAAAATATTTTTCATCAACTACCATAGGCGCAGATTTTTTAAAAAAATATTTTTCATCAACTACCATAGGCGCAGATTTTTTAAAAAGTATTTGTCATAGGCTTTTTTGTCATGGATTTTTTAAAAATTTTGCAACAAGCCTTTAAAAAAATTGAATGTTATTTATTTTTCTTATATCTCATACTCTCTAAAAAATACATCCTCTTTGACATTGTTCATGCTCTTCTCCCAGTTACAACACCCACAAATCATTTTCTATTTTTCCTGTTGTTGTTGTTGTTGTAAATGTGCTGGAATCCACATTCCAAAGATGTCATCATTTCGAATTGGTTAGCTGTCGGTCTCTCTACCTATCTGTGTTGGTATTCAAGTTTATTTTTTGAAGTTGTCACATTTATCGTTTTACTTTATAGGGTTCGGGATGATGATGTTTCCAACATATCTGCTTCTTCTTCTTCTTTTAAGAATCTATTTTTTTCCTATTTCACATGTAATCAATGTTATCAAATACCATCATTTTACCCAACGACATCAATTGATGATGATGATCATCATCATGATGATGATGACGTTGTTGTAGTTGTCTTTTATTTTGAAAGAAAAATAAAACAAATCTATTACAAGCTGCTAAACGAGTTGTTGGCTATTTTTTTTTTTTTTTTTTGTTCCATCTCTTCGAGAGGATCAATTTCGTATGGTTTGGCTAGGAAACAAGTTTGCTTCGCTTTGAGTTTTGATCATTCGCACCAAACACATTCCTTGGAAGTAGCAAAAAACAACCAACAAAATGTGGCAATGTCGGTGACATTCATAACTGATTTCATGTTTTGCCATATACGTGGTGGCATGCCACCAATAGCAACAACAACAACATCTTCAATACCATAGATCGAGCCAAACTGCAATGATCATACCAAACTAAATTCCGTCCATCTAAACTATCTATTGGATTGATTGCTGAATCATGATGATGATGATGATCAAGACGATGATGATGTTGGCGATGGTGGTTCGTCGATCTCTCTAAAAGCATCACTTTTTTGGAAATTTAGCTCTCCCTCTCTCTCTCTTAAATTGGACAAAGTGTTGCCATTATTTATTTACTTACAAATTTGTAGTTTTAAATCGAAACAAAAACATTAAAAAGTCCTGAAAGGACTCATCCTCAGGATGCAAGAAAATATGTTCATCGATACCTATATAAAAAATCGGATCAATTTTTTAAGATCAAAATTTGTCGCAATTGGTTTTGGAGTGTCTTCAGACATGTCTGATCGAACTCTAAAGGAATTCGGAACTATGTAGCCAAACCACATATTTTTATACCCTTCAGCAACAGGGACGTACGCAGGGGGCCGGCCCGTGGGGTCCGGCGCCCCCCCCCCCCCAAAATGAATTGTTTTCACAGTTAATTTTTGTTTGCAACAGCGAATTTTTTCATTTTGCATAACCGATTTGGATGAAATTTGGCATAGGTCACTTATTTGGCCCAAGGACGAACCCTATTGAAATTGAGAAAAATCGGTCCAGGCTTACATATAGCTCCCATATATATTTTCGTCCGATTTAAGGTAAATCGTGTACCAATGTCACTATATATCTTTCGACTTGCACCAAATTTGGCACAGCGTAATGAATTATGTCTAGAATGATGTGTATTAAGCTTCCTGAAAATCGGTTCAGATTTAGATATAGCTCCCATATATATTTTCGTCCGATTTAAGGTAAATTGTGCACCAAAGTACATATATATCTTTCGATTTGCACGAAATTTGGCATAGCGTACTGAATCGAGCCCAGAACGATGTGTGTAAAATTTCTTGAAAATCGGTTCAAATTTAGATATAGCTCCCATATATATTTTCGTCCGATTTTATGTAAATGGGGCACCAAAGTCTCTATATATCCTTCGATTTGCACGAAATTTGACATAGCGTAAGGAATTGCGTCTATAATAATGTATGCAAAGTTTCGAGAAAATCGGTTCAGATTTAGATATAGCCCCCATATATATTTTCATCCGATTTTAGGTAATTGGTGCACCAAAATCTCCGAAAATCATTCGATTTGCACGATATTTGTCATAGCGTACTGAATTAAGGCTACAATGACGTTTGCTAAGTTTCGTGAAAATTTGTTCAGATTTAGATATAGCTCCCATATATTTTTTCGTCCGATTTTATGTAATTGGTGCACCAAAGTCCCTATACCGAATTAAGACTAGAATGATGTTGCTAAGCTTCGTGAAAAGATCCATAGCTAGGCCGATTTACACAACGTACTGATGTTATATAAATTAGTCTCTGCCAAATTTCCCTGAAATCGGTTCAGATATATTCTACATATGTCAGGATACATATGTAGAATATACCCAAAGTGGTGAAGGGTATCGTATAGTCGGCCCAGTCCGACTTTACTACTTTCCTTACAGGTTTTTTTTATAAACCAAAATTTGTAAATGTCTCTATTCCAGACCACATGGACCAAAACAATAAAAGATCAATTTTCAAAAAATAACCAAAAATTCCGACCAATTACCATATTCGTAGATTATTTAAAAATCATTTTTTATCAACTACCATATTCGTAGATTTTTTTAAATTATTTTTCATAAACTACTCTATTTCAGACCACCTGGAATTATGACCAAAACAATAAAATATCAATTTTCAAAAAATACCCCAAAAAAATCGACCAAATCTCCAACACCCAATCCCCAATCTTTTCATTACAAAAGAGAATCAAATTGGCAATCTAGATGACAATAAAAATGTTCATCGTCATCATTGCTCTATTATTTAGTTTAACTATTTTTATTTTTGTTTTTTTTTTTTTAACCCCCCATACCCCTTCGACTCCGAATCCGGTCCAATAACAGTAGCAGTCATAAATAGTACATGTTTTACATTTTAATTTATACCATTTATGGACACAAACTACCAGGACAAGTGTGACAATGATTTTTTTCATGATGATGATGATGCTGCCACCGATTGCACTAATCATAGCTACATGACAGCCCAACCCATTCCAGACTCATTCCAAGCTACATTGAGCCGGGCATTTTTTCTTCATTCCATGCACTGAACAAATATTAGGCCGGCTACTGTAAAGCGGACAGAGCGACATTTTTTGTGCCAAACAAACAACACTGGAAGTGTCATAATTTTTGTTGTAAACTATCCGGACTATCGAACTTCTATTTTGAGATACAAATTTCTGGATTTCTGGACATTTTTTTTGTACAAAAATAGACCACAAGGTAGAAAAAAAATAAAATAAAATGAAAAACTGGTTGGAATGTTGCAGGTAATTACCGAAAGGAAGTGGGATTCAGGACGCGATAAATATGACTTAGAAGATTGTTTGATGAGGAGCTGAGGAGGAGGGAGCGGGAGGTCGGTATCTACCATAGACGTGGATTTTTTACTATGCCCGATTTTTTTTAGATTATTTTTCTTGAACTACCATAGGCGTGAGTAGTTTTAAAACTTATTTTTCAAACCAGTGAGCGGAGCAGTATAGTCGGACGGGGCCGACCATACGATACCCTACACAACTACCACGGAACTCAAATTTTCTGCGGATGAATATTCCGAGCCTGGGTAATAATTCGTGATATTTGCACCCTCTTGCCCGATTAGTGGTAAACAGCAACTCTTCCTCAAACTGACATATTTTCCGAATATTACGAGTATTCAGTACAGCTATTGTCCAGATTCCCTTCACCGTGGGTTGTGTTGTGATGTTCGGCTTTCATTTGTGGTCTATAGATCGACTCAATAATAACAAAAAAAATTAAGTTTTCGGTCCACTTCATTAGGTGTAACTCCCACATCCGAGCACATACAACAATATAATTGGTATTAATTTAAAGGTCAACCACTCCTCTTGGATATAATATAAACTTCTCAGGTCTATGTCCTTCAGGGGTAAATATATACGCTATAGAATACAAATGTTGTCATTTTTCACACAAAAGTCAGGGTCCATTTGACCCACTAAATATTGACCGATCTTTATGAAAACAGGCATGCTTATTCTTTGGCCAGATCCCCTTCTCCAGGGAAAATTTCACGATGTTTGGGCCATAATTGCGGCCCCTGGAGCGACCAGAAAAACCGACAAAAATTTAGTATTTGGTCCATTTCATCCCCTAAATATTAATCGATCTTTCCCAATAGGGGTCTTCATTGGCCAGAACCCATCATACATGCAAAATTTCGTGAAGATTGGTCCATAACTGTGGCCTGTATCGTGTTTACAAATTATAATGGACAGACGGACGGACAGACGGACACACATGTCTCGATCGACTTAGCTAGTCGAGATATGACTAGCTGGGTCTAGGACCAATATTTCGCGGCGTTACAAACTTTTGGGGCTGCACAAAGCTATAATACCCTGACAACATAGTTGTGTAGGGTATAAATATGCCAAGGTGTGGGTTTTTTTAAAATTATTTTTCATCAACTACCATAGGCGTAGATTTTTTTAAATCATTTTCATCAACTACCGTAGGCATAGAATCACTTTCTGAGTCGATTTATGAATGTCCGTCCGTCCCTCAGTCTGTCAGTCTGTTGGTGTTAAATTGTAAACAAAGTACAGGACGCATTTATGAATCGATTTGGATGAAACTTGGTACAGCTCATTTGTTTAGCCCAAAGACAAACCCTAAAATTGGGAAAAATCAGTTCAGATTTAGATATAGCTCCCATATATATTCTCGTCCGATTTTAGGTAAATAGTACACCAAAGTGACTATATATCTTTCGATTTGCATGAAATTTGCCACAGCGAACGGAATGAAGTCTAGAGTGATGTGTGCTAAGTTTCATGAATATCGGTTCAGATGTAGATATAGCTCCCATATATATTTTCGACCGATTTTATGTAAATGGTGCACCAAAGTACCTAAATATTTTTCGATTTCCATGAAATTTTCCACAGCGTACGGAATTAAGTTTAGAGTCATGTGTGCTAAGTTTCGTGAAAATCGGGTCAGATTTAGATATAACTCCCATATATAGTTTCATCCGATTTTAAGTAAATGGTGCACCAAAGTCCCTATATACCTTTAGATTAGCACAAATTTGGCATAACGTACTGAATTTAGCCTAGAATGATATCTACCAAGTTTCGTGAAAATCGGTCCAGATTTAAATATAGCTCCCATATATATTTTCCACCGATTTTATGTGCATGGTGCACCAAAGTCCCTATATATCTTTGGATTAGCACGAAATTTGGCATAACGTACTGAATCGAGCCTTGAATTATATCTACCAAGTTTCGTGAAAATCGGTCCAGATTTGAATATAGCTCCTATATATAGTTTGTCCGATTTTATGTAAATGGTGCACCAAAGTCCATATATATATATAAGTCCATATATATTTGCACAAAATTTGGTATAGCGTACTGAATTAAGTGCAGAATGATGTGTGTTAAGTTTCGTGAAAATCGGTTCAGTCAAAGTCCTTTGATTTGTTCGAAATTTGGCATAGCGTACTGAATTAAGTCTAGAATGATGTGTGGTGAGTTTCGGGAAAATCGGTTCAAATTTAGATATAACTTCCATATATATTTTCGTCCGATTTTAAGTAAATTGTGCACCAAAGTCCTTCGATTTGCACGAAATTTGGCATAGCATACTGAATTGAGTCTAGAATGATGTGTGGTAAATTTCGAAAAAAATCGGTTCAGATTTCGATATAGCTCCAACATATACATATATATTTGTTCGATTTTTCATAACACCCAACTCGTAATGTTTGTCCGATTAACACGAAATTTTTCACAACGTATCAAACATGAATGACGTTATTGTGTTTTTGTTGAAATTGGTGCAGATGCAGCCATAGCTTCCATATGTATTTCATAGGGGTGTCTGATTGAGAATAATTATTTAACAGTGCGGCTTACGGAATAACATGTATCAATTTTGCTATAAATCGTTTGCCATAAATTTGTCCCATCCGCGTACAGATGACTCTAAATCTGCCCGAATGAAATTAAATTTTAACATAGGTTGCAGAAAGACATGAGTAGGTTCCTTCGATGGAACATTGACATGCAATTGTAAGGATACATATGTATAATATACCCAAAGTGGTATAGGGTATCACACAGTCGGCCCAGTCTGACTTTACTAAATTTTTTTAAAAATTATTTTTCAGTATCTACATTATGCGTGGATTTTTTAAAAATTATTTTCTTTGCTCTACCATGGGCGTGAATTTTTTTAAAAATTTTTTTTTGTGGTCTATAATAGGTGGGGATTTTTCTTAAATAATTTTAAATATTATTTTTTTGAGGTCTACCCTAGGCGTGGACTTTCTAAAATTATTTTTTGTGGCCTACAATAGGCGCGGATTTTTTAAAAATAATTTTAATTATTATTTTTTGAGGTCTACATTAGGTGTGTATTTTTTACAAATTATTTTTGTTAAAGTTTACATTAGGCGTGGGCTTTTTAATAATTATTTTCTGTGGTCTACCCTAGACGTTAACTTTTTAAAAATTATTTTTTGTGGTCTACATCTGGCGTGGATTTTCAAAAAATTATTTTTCAACATCTATCATAGGCGTGGAGTTTTTAAAAATTATTTTCCTTGCTCTACCATGGGCGTGGATTTTTTTAAAAATTATTTTCCTTGCTCTACCATGGGCGTGGATTTTTTTAAAAATTATTTTCCTTGCTCTACCATGGGCGTGGATTTTTTTAAAAATTATTTTCCTTGCTCTACCATGGGCGTGGATTTTTTTTAAAAATTATTTTCCTTGCTCTACCATGGGCGTGGATTTTTTTAAAAATTATTTTCCTTGCGTGGATTTTTTTAAAAATTATTTTCCTTGCTCTACCATGGGCGTGGATTTTTTTAAAAATTATTTTTTGTGGTCTACAATAGGCGCGGATTTTTTTTAAATAATTTTTTAAATTTTTTAAAAATTATTTTTTGTGGTCTACCCTTGGCGTGGATTTTTTAAAAATTATTTTTCAACATCTACCATACGATTGAAGATATTTAAAAATGACTTAGATCGTCTCACCTCCCTTCATAGCCTCTTAAGAAAAATTATATTCCCCCTACATTGGAACAAATTTTAAATGACTCTTTGATTCGATTTGAATTATTGTTTAGGTCAATCGTTATAATTAACAAATAATGAAGTTAGAAATACATTTAAGGTTTGTTTTTTGGTTTGTGTTCAGAATGCCATGAATTTGTGTTTACGTTCTTTTGTTATTGGGCTAAGTGCCCAATTTTATATGCTCACATTTTAATTTAAAACCAAATAGAAAAAACAGATCTCAAAATCTAATGAAAATGAAATCTAAATCGCAAATTGGTAGCCAGCTAGCGTTTCAAATGCTCCAGCGGGAGAGCGAGGGACAGGGGGAGGAGGAGGAGGTAGGGAGTCACAAATCAACAACCACAACAGCACTTGAATGTGAATAATGGCGAGTCATTTTAGATGGAGTTGACCTTCAACCATATAACTAGAGGTAGTTAGTGTTGGTAACTTCAGAATGTCTGACTGACTTGACTAACATTTGCTTTAGTTTTCAATTGTTTGGTTTTTTTTCGAGGGGGGTGGGAGTTGCGGGAGTTGTATTAGTGATCTATGATGAGATATACTAAGGGGGGTGCTAAGTTTTGTTGTTTCTGTTTCTGTTTTTTTTTCATGTGCTATTGTGGGTACTTGGAGTAGATACTACCCATGACTTGTTTAGCCATAGCCGTTGGCCATAAAACAATCAAATAATTCAATTTATACCCCAACCTCAGGTTGGCTAGCTAGCCAAGCCAAACCAAGCCATGCCACTCAAACTCTTCTCCTTTGCTGGTTGGCATGGTGAGAGGGAATGCAGTCCACCAAACCAAAAACACTTTTGATTTGAAGACTCCAAACTCATAATTAAGTTTTGAAAAAATCAAACAATAAAAGTTCCGCTTTCATTATTTTTTGTTTTTGTATTTTTTTTCAGTTTTATTTTCGTTGTTGTGAAAACCCAACAAATTAATTTAGTATTTTTTGTTGGTTTGTGTTTTCTTCTCCTCTTGTCTTAATACTAACCTTCTTCTTCTCCTCTTCTACTTTACAGATTACGTCAGGAAAGCGATTTACTATCACGTCAAGCCTCACATAATTGGTCACAAAACGATCTGTCATCTTTGGCTTCCACATCGGTGGCAGCATCACCAACCTCACTTATGTCGCGTGATCGTGATCTAAGTGAATTGAGCGTGTCCAGCATTACACAACAACAACAGCACCACCACCAACAACAACAACACAACAATAGTTCCGAAAGTACTTCCTCTACGGAGACGCTAAAATGGTTGGGTTCGATGAGTGATGTTAGTGAAGTTAGCCATGCCACGGGATTTTCGGCAATATCGGAATCAGGTGAGTAAAGATATAACCCCATAATACCCCCTCAACAAAAATAATTACAATTCTCTTTCTGTCTCTCCCCCATAGTTTCCACCTCCCAATTAATTGTGCACAGTTCCCGGGTCCTCACACCCAAACGCCATCAAAGTGAAAGTGTTCTACTGGGCAATGAGGAACAACCTGGGCGATCATCTTCCTCCTCCTCCGCCACGTCAGCCCATCAAAACCCTTCCACGGTTATAACGCATGCTCAAAATTCCTCTGCCTCGACACTGGTACCAAATCATCGTCACAGCCCCAGCTATCCGCCCGTTCACCAGACATCACACACCATGTATCGCCATCACAACCATAGCCACTTGGCCAGTACCAATGAGCTGGGCGGTAAATCCCAGCTGAGTGAGAAAACCTCATCACAGACAAATATCTCCGTTAGCATTACGAACAGTGAGGCTGTGGTCACCATATCACCTCATCCGCCACCGGTACCAGCACCCAAACCCACTACGAACGGCAGTTCGGCGTCACAAAGTGGTGAGCGATCCCCTCGCCAGGCCAATTCTCCACGTGGCTTGGCCAACTCAACAAGTTCCTTAAATGTGGCGGGTGTTCACAAATCTCCCGTCTCCGCTTCCATGGATTCATTGGCGGACATTAAATCACAGCCCTATCGCAATAATCATCGCCTGTTCCCCGTTAGTACCTATACGGAACCGGTGCACAGTAATACCTCGCATTTTGTCCATCATCCTAAGCCTCAGTATAGTACAGGGTTACAAAAGCCACAAAAATCCCTGGCCCCGCAGCAGCAACAACAACATTCGCCCTCAGGAAATGGTAGCCTCAGCAATCTTAGCCAAACACAAAAAATGGGTTCACCCACGGGGTATCCTCAACCCAGTTGGCAATCGGTGGCCACATTAATTAATGATTTTGAAAGATCTGCAGATCCCCAGCAGCAGCAACAGGGTTCTGGGGCAGGGCAAAAATACACGTATTTGGATCCCAACAAGACCCATAGGGTACCCAATCCCGCTCTCAAGGCTTTTCAAAAAAATGCCGTGCAATCCTATTTTGAGAGACAACAGCAACAACAACAACAGCAGCAACAACAAAATCAATTGCAACAACACCACCACCACAACTCTTCCATGGAAAGTTTACAGCACTCTCCGAAATCTCTGTCCTCCCGTTCCGGTGGTTCTCCCCAACATGCCATGGGTCACAACCAAAATGGTGACCAAGTGGCCACGGTTTTACTCAGGAATTCCTTGCCCAGCAATTATAATTCTCCACCGATACAAAGGCCTCTATCGGAGGATAAAAATGCCTTCAGTGCGAGAAATTTGCCCAATAAACCTCCCTCCCCCGCTCCGCCACCACCACCGCCACGATCACGTTCCATGATGCCCACAGTGCTAAGGCGTTCCTCCTCGGCCTCAGATTATTCGGAGTTACGCGATCAATTCATCTCCGCATCACAGGACAAGCTACAGTCTCAGTCCATTAAAAATATTTCCAGTTCGGAGAAATTCTCTTTCAACGACTGTGGAATGCCACCTCCGCCGCCGCCACCCCGGGGAAGGGCTTCCATGTCGGGTCGTCGAACCTCATCGGCCTCAGATTATGCTGGTATTAGGGATAAGGTCTTACTGCAACAGGCAGCTGCCTTGACCCACCAGCAACTCCATCCCCATCAACATCAAAATGCCATGATGGCCAATAGCTATCATGGCCACCCACATGGGCCACCGTATCATCATCACCACAATCCCCCCATGGCTTATCTGCCAGGTGCCAATGTACCGCCTCCCGTACCACCACCCGTACAAGATGGCTGGGTACCCGAAAGGCCACCCAAAAATCCCAATCTACGTGTTCCTTCCCCTGACTTGCCACCACCTCCCCCGGGATTGGATAGTGAAACCAGTCTCTCCGATGAACCTCTACCACCACCACCACCAGAAATTCTACAAAGACAACCGCTAAATGAATTAAATCCCGAACTTATGGCCAAGCCACCCTCACCCAATCGTCGCAATAGCTTCGCAGGGGCCTCCACACGGAAATCGGCTAACTTCTTTCAACGTACCACTTCCAATGAATCCGGAATCAATAAAGGACCACCTCCCTTGGTTCCACGTAAACCGGCCAGTATTGAATTGGTGCAAGTGACCAGACCCTCACCAACCACCCTCAATAAATTACAACCTGAGCTTATAAGGGCCACAACCATATCTTCGTCTACACGGAAAAGGCCTCATAATCTGGCTGCCGGTTCCCCCTCGTCATCGCCGTCTTCCTCTATAACAGCCATACAAGAGAATGTTGCCATAACCCAAACGCGGCATTCACCCATTGGTGCTACAATGAAATCCTCACCGCCACCACCACCTCTAATGCCACGAATGCCAACAAACGATAGCCATCACCACCAGCAACAACAACAACAGCAGCAGCCCCAAATGGCCACGACAGCAGCAGCAACAACAACAACAAATGTCGCTAATTCGAAATCAAGGTAAGTGCAAAATTAAATTTTATGTTTAATTAATTGCCAGTAATTTGAGGCATTTTTTTTTGTTCATTGTTGTGGTTCCAACTTTTATGGAACAGCTAATGGAGTTATTAGCCACCACCATTACAAGTTTTCGGTTTCATTTTTTCCTCCTTTCCTGCTCTATGAAATCTAATACGGCGAGAGATATTTCATCATTGTACACAAAGGTTTATATTTTGCAAAACTTTGCAAAGACCAAACGTCATTTTCCAGAGACTTGGAAGGTGGAGAGGGGGGTGGGCGATCAAGAGATTTACATATTTCCCAACCCCACATCAGCTCTGGGCTACATAAAAAGCTTGAACAAAAACAAAATAAAATTGTTTGCCTTTTTTCTTAGTTTTTGAACTGGGACTGTCGCTTTGGCAAGTTGTCAAGTTGTTGTCAATGTTGATGTATAGTGACTGGTCGGCTGGTCCACTCCCACTTAATTGATCTTTTGTCATAGCTGTTTCTTTCTTTTTTTTTTTTTTTTTGCTTCGGAAATGTTCCACATAGTATATGTATGTGTGTGCAAGCATTCCTATGATTGACAAAAAGAAAAGGGAAAATCCAGGGTAAATTATGCTTTGAAAGGCGGATATTGAAAGAACAGAAAAAAAACTTGAAATGCCAAGCAGTGGGAGTTAGCTAGGGATGAGGAAAGAATTACGAAGTAAGAAAATCCTATTCTTATTAATGTCATTAATCGTAGTCTGATACAAGACATTTAAGAAATTCACCCAGGAAGATCATCTGGAAATCAGCTGTTGTCACTTCCAATGGCAATACTTATGTTGCTCTGAGAACCTATGTTCGAATCCTAGCATGAGGATTTGCCTGTTAAGGTGGAGATCAATATCATATTGAAAATTCTGTAGCATCTAATTATTATTCGTGGTGTCCCACTCACATATCATTTGCACCCAACCTATTGACCGATACTATTTTAAATAACTGTGATTTTCGGTTTGGGAAAGAGTCCGCTATATTTAGAAATTATTTCTGTTCGTTTTTATACCCTTCACCACACTGTGGTACAGGGTATTATGTCTTTGTGCATATGTTTGTAACAGGCAAAAATAAACGAGATAGACCCATGGTTCCTTTTGAGAATATGCATAGAATCTGAGTCGATTTATGTATGTGCGTCTGTCCGTCCGTCCGTTCATGTATTTTTGTTAACAAAGTACAGGTCGCATTTATGATCCGATTTGGATGAAATTTGGCACAGGTCACTTAATTGGCCCAAGGACGAACCCTATTGAAATTGGCATAGCTCCCATATAAGGGTACCCCCCAATTTTCGGTATTTCGAGGTTATTTAGCACGTTTTTTTAACTGAAATCGCTGAAATTTGGTACTTTGAGTTCTTATTGGGTAGCAAATCTCCCTACTAAAAACTATAAATATAGGTTCATTTTTTCGGATAGTCCCCATATAAGGGTACCCCAAATTTTCGGTATTTTGGGGGTTTTTATCGCATTTTTCGAACGAATTCGCTGAATTTTGGTACTTTGAGTTCTTATTGGGTAGCAAATATCTCTACTAAAAATTATAAATATAGGTCCATTTTTTCGGATAGTCCCCATATAAGGGTATTCCCAATTTTCGGTATTTTAGGGTTCTTGAGCTCGTTTTATAACTGAATTCTCTGAAATGTTGTACATTGGGTTCTTATTGAGTACCAAATTACTCTACAAAAAATTATAGACATAGGTCCAGTTTTTCTGGTAGTCCACATATAACGGTACCCCCAAATTTTTGGTATTTTGGGGGTTCTAATCGTATTTTTCGACCGAATTGGCTGTAATTTAGTACGTCGAGTTCTTATTAGGTATCAAATCTCTCCACTATAAATTATAAATATAGGTCAATTTTTTGGGTAGCCCCCATATAAGGGTACCCCCAATTTTCGGTATTTTGGGGTTCTTGAGCGCGTTTTTCAACCAAATTCTTTGTAATTTGGTTTTTTGTAGTCGTATATGGTAGCAAACCTCCCTCCCTGTATTTTTGTTAACAAAGTACGGGTCCCATTTATGATCCGATTTGGATGAAATTTGGCACAGGTCACTTAATAGGCCCAAGGACGAACCCTATTGAAACTGGAGAAAAAAGGATCAGATTTAAATATAGCTCCCATATATATTTTCGTCCGATTTCAACTTATTGGTACACCAAACTCCCAATAGTGATCCGATTGAGATAAAATTTTGCACAGAGTATTGAATTAGGTCTAGATAGTTATATGTCAAGTTTTGTTGAAATCGGTTCAGATTTAGATATAGCTCCGATTTATAGTTTCGTCCGATTTAATGTAAATAGTGCACCAAACTCCCAATAGTGGACGACTAAAGCAAAATTGTGCACAGAGTACTGAATATATGTAAAATTTTGTTGTAATTGGTACAGAGTTAGGTATTGTTGCTATATATAGTTTCGTGCCATTTTATGTAAATGAAGCTCCATACTGCCAATATTTATCCGATTGCGACAAAATTTAGCACAGCGTACTAAATTGGGTCATTCATGAATGCGAAGTTTAGTTGAAATCGGTTCAGATTTAGATATAGCTCCCATATATAGTTTCGTCCGATTTAAAGTAAATTGTGCACCAAACTCCCAATATTGTTCCGATTGAAGCAAAATTTTGCACAGATTACTGAATTAGGTCCCGACTGATGTATGCGAAATGTCTATATCTACAGGATATTGTAGATATTAACATGTCTTGCATGTACCCATAGTGGTGAAGGGTATCATATAGTCGGCCCCGTCCGACTTTTGAACTTTCCTTAATGGTTTTTTTTCTTATTCTGATTTTACGATATTGTTTGAAAGTCCAAGAATTGAGGTCCCGATTAATATATGCTATATGGAAATGAACTTCAGAATATTCTTCGAATTTCCAACAGTTCTAAAGACTCACAATTTCGAAGGTACCTCAGAAAATCCCGATTTTTTTCAAATACACACTCTTCTGAGGAATTTTCTCCCCAAGAGAAGTTTAGGCGATAATTCCCTAACAATTGGGCTCCTTCACACCTCTTTTTCGCATTCCACGCAAAAAAAACATTTCCATGTACAACGAAATTCCATATGACAACTTTGTTGTTGCTGTCGCTGTTAGTGGCCTGCAAACCCCCCAAAAAAGAACATTCATAGGCATTTTCCGGGTCAAAGGGTTACCTTAGAGGCTTAACAATTTTTTAACGGACATTGTCAATTCGTTGCCTGTGATAGTACACATTTTTATGGTCCTAAACAAAGTGACGGTGTGCAGCTTTTCTAGGCTACTGATATCGACAGCAGTGCCAATTGTTGTTGTTTTTGTCGTTGTCGTCGTCGTACCTTCTTATTAACAAACATGATTTTCTGCATGTAATATAAGAAAATTGCCAAAGTGACACCCGCAAACGACCTTTATGGCACGATTTATGATGCAACTCTAAAAATCCACTCTAAACATGGCCAGGCAATCCGCAAAACCCAACGAACAATCTCCTTTGAGCTCCTTTTATAAACCATTGAGGTGGCTGGCTGGCTGGCTGGCAGCTTTTCCAGCTTATCTCCAAAGTAAAGAAACAAATTTCGAAAAAAAAGAGAAAAAAACACGGTCCCCAAGAAGAGGTGGTTGTGGTGATACTGCTACGTTCCGAAGGAGTTCGGAGTTAAGGAGCCACGAAAGAAAAAACTTGTGACAAAATTAAATTAAAGCCAATACACACACACACTATCACACGCGAAACTCTCAACAAGGCAAACCAAAACTTGTCACATTTTTGGAAAACTCCATAGCATTGGCAGCCGAAATAAATCTCTAATCCGCACACGAACGTCAATATCGGAATAGGTTTTTTGTTGTTATTTTTCCATCTCCAAAAGAAGGCTACCATCGAATCCGGCCTGTTGCCAATCGAACGTTTTTGTTTTTTTTTTTTGCGATTTGGTGAAATATTTAGAGCTGTTGTATTCATTATGTGGCATGAAAGAGGGAGGTGAGCGGATTTTTTGGAGGCTGCCTGGCTGTGGCGTGTCTAACCAGGCCACAATAGGCCAAACTAAGCCATTACGCGGCACACCGTAATGTTGCACATCAGGCGTGTGCTGCTGAGCTATAGAACCACTGATTTTGTTCGACTGCCAACCGACCAAGCAGAAAAATGCTTGATACTTTCGTGGTGGTGTTCCTCATGTCTGTGTGCACGTGGGTCAAAGTGTTGCCACTTCTAATTGTTAACACTCGAATGCACTTTTTTTGTTTTTGTTGGCCATACTTAACAAAATCTGCACTCGCCGAGACAATTTTTTTTCGAAGACAAAAGCAACAACAACGAAAAGGAATGACATTCAGTGATGATTATTGTGTAATAAAAAAGGGTGGGACATATGAACAATGGGTTGGAAAGTCATACGAAGGAGGCTGAATAAGGTTTTTGTTAAGAAATCGCAGCTGAATTAGGTTTCAATGAGGAACTCTACAATACAGCCTGGCTGAATTAGGTTTCTGTTAGGAAATCTGCAATTCAGCTCGGCTGAATTAGGTTTCTGTTAGGAAATCTTCAATTCAGCTCGGCTGAATTAGGTTTCTGTTAGGAAATTTTCAATTCTGTTCAGCTGAATTAGTTTTTTATCGGGAAATCTTCAATTCAGCTCGGCTAAATTAGGTTTCTGTGAGGTATTCAATTCAGTTCGAAATATTCAATTCAGCCAGGCTGAAAAGGTTTCTGTTACGAAATCTTCATATTAGGGTAGCTGAATAAGGTTCTACATAGGAACTCTTTAATTCAGTCTAGCTAAATAATGTTTTTCATAGAAAATCTTCAGTTCCGTACAGCTGAATAAGATTTACTATAAGAAATCTTCAATGCATTCTGGCTGAATAAGAGTTTTTATAAGGTTTACTACAGGAAATCTTCAATTCAGCCTGGCTGAATATGATTTTTATATGAAATCTTCAATTCAGCCTGGCTGAATATGAT